ATCACTCTGAATTCCTCCCTTTCCCTCAGCCCACTGAACCAGTAACAAATTCTATTGATTCAACCATAAACCCTCCATTTTTGCTGCAACCACCACTGCCCAATAAACCATCATTTCTTGCCTAGACATCTACAATTACTTTTCCAATCTGTCTACCTACCTTGTCCCCTAGGTCTCTCCAATTTATTTTTTACAAGTCAGAGAGACAGAAACTGGCCTTTAACAACTTTTCATTGCACTGGAAGTTGTATTCAAAGTCCTTCTATTACCTGCAAGGGGTTTCCTGCCTTTGCCTAGCTCCACCTGACTCCTCATACATCAGACTAGAGCCCCAGTGGCCTTCCTTTGGTCACTAAAACACAAGTGCTAATTCAATGGCTGGCTCTTTTACTTTGGGTTTCAACTTCAGAATTGTTTTTTGAAAGAAGGCTTGCTTAACCATTATGCTCGTGTACAACCCCTGTCAACCATTTGCCATTATTCTCTTTCCTAGCAAATTATTAGTTCCCTACCTTGTAATCTATGATGTGTTTATTTGATTTCTCCAAYAGTCTCTAAGTTCACTGAGGGAAAAAAGTATAAGTTTTTTTTTTTTTTGTGTGTGTGTGTGTGTGTGCTTACCATTACATACCTAGTATATAGCATTACAATATATGTTAAAAAGACAGAATTGATTAAAATTGTATTGCATGTCCACTATGTGGCAGACACTGCTTTTGATACCTTACATAGGAAGCTTAATAACATATAATAGCTGCATGAATGGAACAAATAAACAATTAGAGAACTGCTCTCAAGGGATTCACTAAATTTATAGTAAGGAAGGAATAATTTGTGAAAAGTTTATAGGAACTGATAGTAGATTCTGATCTTGATAAATGGAAGGAAGGAAGGAAGGAAGGAAGGAAGGAAGGAAGGAAGGAAGGAAGGAAGGAAGGAAGGAAGGAAGGAAGGAAGAAAGGAAGGAAGGAATTTATTTATTTTAAAGAGGCCAAAGAACAAAGGCATGGGAATGGGTTGTCATTGCTACCCTATTTCCCATTGTGTTCTAAATCATTGCCACTGCAGAAATTGTGAAAGATGAAATTTCCTGAAACCAATGTATGGTATTTTCTCTAACCAGCAACAGCCACACTAATCTAATTTGTACAGGATTCATGTGCTGTTTTTTCAACTCTAAAGTGAAGGAGTGAGTTAATAGGTCACCTAAGGTCCTTTCAAATGATTCTTGGCTTCCTTTTAAATTCTAAGCATCTCGAGAGGAGGAATCATTATACTCCTTCTTCAAAAAATGTAGAAAGAACAGCTTCTTTTTTATATATATAAACGTTAGTTAGATATTCTGCCTAGCAGTCCCAATCTATGTTGATTTCAAACCCTGACACCATTTTTTAATGACTGAAAATCAACTACATTATGGATTGTTAGAATAGAAAGCAAGATGGGCAGGTGCCTTTTAGTCTATCTTGGAATAACTGATATTTCTCAAACTTTTCCTTTATTCTGACATGAATGAACATATTAATCAGAAAGGCACTGAAAGAGACAGAGAGGGGACAAGAGAAAAGTTCTGCCCTCAAACATCACCACAAAAATGTGTAGAACTGAATATGTGAATAAAGAAAATTGCCAGTGATTCACAAAAGCAAGACAACTGACAGAGTGTGTAGTGGCTGAAAAAAATTCTAGTTTCCTAAAGGGATCGGAGTAGATGAACACATATCTTTTATGTCTTTTTAACTGATTTTCACTTAATAATTTAATACAAATTCCAATTTTAAAAAATGGCACTGTTATACCACACCAGCTTGTGTTCCCTGCAAACCAAACTTTGAAATTTAGAGCTGTTTTTATTTCATTACCCTTGAGGGATTCTCTGTTTCCTGTCCTTAATCTGCAAGAACAAATATGCCAGAACCCCACAGTACAAGATATTATGGAAGGCTGTATATGACCTCTTAGAGAACTGGAAATTTTGCAAATGTAGAACAAACTCTAGAGAGTGACATTTTTGATCCAGCTTTTAATTTAAAGACTTTTACCTAACATTGACACATTAGCATACTATTTTTCTGAAAGTAAAATTCCCTTTTCAAAGGTCATCCTTAATAAACTACATAGCCAAATACCTTCTAATTCAAAGGTTTTCTTTCCTTCCCTGACCTGTTCCTTCCCTCCCTCCTTTCTATCTGTTTAGGTTATGTTGTTTAAATCTCCATGGACAAGCAGAATTCTTCCATTAATCTTTGTGTGGTAATGTTTTACTTATCTATTTATTTGGTAATGTTTTATTTTTTTAAAGAAAGCTTATTATATATAGGTAATATCTAAACATTGTTAGGCTCTCAGTTGAGAGCCGTATATATGCTATATCAGCATGAATTAAACCTCATACTTAACCTTTCTCTCCCACTTGTTGTGAATACATTTTTAAAATCATAGTTTCTCTCAAACTGGAATACCTAACAACATACCAGCATAGTTTAGGAGATTAATAAAGAATTCTACATGTAAACAATGGGCATATTTGTGCTGAATGTCATGGAATTTTATACCAATTTTGGGATTTTTCAAAAACCCACTGACCTGAATTTTAAATTACTCAATTATCCCAAATTTAAAGGGCATTCACAGAAGAGCCACAACTGAAATACAACTACTGTTGCTTTCTCTCCTTATACTTTACTTAATAAAAATAAAATTTATTTAGAATTACTAGTTTCTTAAATCATTACCATCTCAGCAAGATGAGAACAGCAAATATATTTGGTCAACATAAAATTTTCCATGTTGTTCACTTCCTTTCCACTCTCATGCTTCAACTTTGATTTAGCCCCTCATCAAATCTCTCCTCAATCACTGTGACATTCTGCAGAAAGCTCCATTCTCTCATTAACCATTGCCCAGCCAGCCATCAGATTCCTGATTCTAAAATCTAATCATTAGTTCTCAGTATGAAACCCAGTACATGGTCCTTAGCATAGCAGTTAAGGCCTACTGTAATTTGACCCTTGCCTACCATCACTTGGTCTTCCTGCCACCACCCCCCTCTACCTCTTCCACCAGGAAGCCCTGTAGAACAGCAGTTAAGAGAAGGGTTATGAAGTCATTGAGCATGAGTTTGTTTATGCCAGCTCACTAAGTGAGCTTGGTCAAGTGGCGCATGCTTTCAAAGCCGGGATTTCCCTCCTCCAAAATCAAAACAATGACAGAAAATCCCCAAAGACCTAGTTTACCTCCTAGCTTCTGAATGTATTACAGAATTAATGAACATTTTATTGAATCCTTCAATTTTTAAAGCATGGAAATTGCTTCCTAGGAAAGAACACAAATTTTCTAAGGTCACAGAACCATGAGGCTAAAACTTGCTTACTCTCCTAAGTCCTCATGGAATGCCCTCATTGCTTCCTGATGTGATGAGTGGGGTCATTTATCACTTTCTGAAATGCTATAATATTTATATTATAATGCCTAAGATGCTAGTATTAATAAGAACATGCTTTTTATTACTTGTTTTTTTTGTAATTTTCCCTATATTTATCTTTTCTCCTCAACAATTTGTAAATTCTATGAGGACAAAAACCAAATATCTACTGTATTACTCCCAGAGCCCTCTGTGGTTCTGATTGTAAGCACCAGCTAGGAGCCTAATAAAGTATCTTCCTAGGAAAAAAACTGCCCCAGGCACAATGCAGGAAGTGAAAATAGCATTTTCACAGGAATTTTTAAGTTTTTGATAATGTAAAAAAAGTAAAATTCAACATGAAAAACTAAAATATGGTTATATATTTGTGTGCATAGAGCACTATACAAAGAACATGACTTGTATTTACTCATTTAGTCCTTTCAACATTTCTACTATTTTTCTCTTTATAAAGGTAAGGAGACTGAAATAGACAGAGACTAAGAAACACGCCCAAGTTTACACAACTATCAAGTCACCACAAAGTTAACAGTCAGTAGTTGAAAACCTATATACAAAACTATGGCCAAGTTCAGTAATTTGTTTGAATCTCTAAACTCATTTTCCATTTCACAGTAATATGGAATATGAGCATCTCAATGAACAAAAATACATATAGCAGATGAACTAAAATATTAGCATAAATATAATCATGATTCATGAAAGGAAGGATTTTTCTTCTCCAGTATAATTATATGAAATCTACTCTTAAGCATGGGGAAAGAAATAAACATAGATGCTCCCAAAATAAATAAAAAACCAAAAGCAAAGTCAGAGAATAGAAAGAATTAGGTAATACATTTACAAGATCAATATAATATGTATTTTAAAATGGCGTGAGGTAAAACATAGCAGTGTACTACTATCTCAATTATCTTTTAGAAGCAGGTGGCCTATATATTATATTTTATCATTCCTTATCCATTGCTCTTGCCAATTCAAAAGAAAAAAACATCAGTTCAAGGATACCAACAAAAAATTTCTTCTGAATCTGATTAAATCTCATAAAGGAGATACAAAGAGCAAACTTAAAGGGCTCTTTAGTAACTGCTGAGCAGCACTGTGCCAGTAGTGTGCGCTTTGTAAATACATTTGCCTTTTATCTTATAATGTTGAAATATCACATTTATTCAAAAGCTCAATGGGCATAAATCATTCATCATCATCCCAGGACACAGTGCAATGCTGGGAAGACCTATTTCATCCTTCCCAGTTTCGAATCAAGGCAGGAGGACAGTGTTGAAAATATCCCAGAAAAACAAAATAAAAACTATCCCTGTTATCATTCTGTCCCTTCATGGCTTTTAAAATACATGATTTTTCCTTCGTGAAAATGGTCAACTAAAAGAGACTTTTACTTCACGCTTCCTTGGATTTGGCATTCTTGTGTTTCAAACACGTAGATCAACTTTGGAATTGAACTCAGTTGCCTACATATGGGGGACACAGGGCGCAGTCATGGTTTCCCAAAGACACTATGAGAACAGCAGAAGTGAATTAGAGGATCAAAAAGCCTCAAAAAGGAGTCACTACTCACAATGTTCATCAGGGTGAGGAGGTAGTTTTGAACGTGCTCTTTGCCATGGAAACGGACCACGGAGTCATCCACTCCCAGCAGCACCTCGATGTTGTAATCGTTCTCTCCCGTGTGTCTGCGGCGCCTCATTGTTTCATTCAGCTGTTGGTCAATGTGGCTGTAAAGTGTACCTAGGTCATGGAGGCCTTCCAGATCCGACTCTGTTAAGAAACAAAAGGAACCCAGGCATTTTAGTTTCCCCAGTGGGCCTTCTGCTCAATACCTTCTAAGGAAAAATGAACCCTCTGGGGGTGTCTACCATCAACCATAACCAGCAAGATTCTGCCTTTCCTTTTATTCCTTATATAAAAGGCACATATGTGTGATCAGAATGGCCTTCTACAAATACAACACAGAACAGCAGCACCAGGGCTAAAAAAATACTGTTCAGAGAGCAGTGCCATGCCAGACTGAAGAGTCCATGAGGATAACAGTGGTTGGTCTTTTCCCAGCTGTATCTCAGTTCCCAGCAAAGCTAGTGGGGGTACAGAACAGTCTGATTATGTCCTCGTTAAATAAATGGAGATTGTAAATAAAAATTGTGTGTCAGTGTGTTTACAGTAGTTTATCTAAGGTATGATCAACATGGATTGCAGACTTTATATCACATAAATTTAAACCACTCCTCTTTCCAGTAGCCATAATTTAAAAACAAAATGATGGCATGATAACACAACCACATTTCACGATGATTGCTRTTCATCGGGTAGTACTCTATTTCTTCTGAGTAGTGAATACTGCAGGGAAAAAGTGGCTGGATATAGAAGTTATAAACACTGGATACTACATTTCTCCACATCTGTATTGCCATCATCTAGACAGCAGGTAATTTCAGTTGTTCTGCATCTGAATCTGTGAGATAGCAAAGTAAGTCAATCAGAATGACCCACATCCAAGGAAAATAAAATTATAAACAGTTTTTTCTTTCATACAGTTCAAGGACTATAATTATTTTCACTTTCCACATGGAGATTTCAAATATAGACACAGACATTCACACAAATGTGGGAAAGAATGAGAAAAACTCTCAGGTTATAATGACCTCAATTTAGTTGTGTCCTCAGATGAGGTTATTTTGGGTGAAGAATATTTCGATGTATTATAAATAAAATATCAATTGGATACTAAAATTAAAGTATTAAAACTGCTGTTATGAGAAAACCTGAAAGTATATTCATCTRCATTTCAAGTACATAAAACCTGGAATTTATTTCATGAACTGCCTTGATGTCTAAAACAAGCTTGACAGAACCAACCCTTGACTCACACTTTATAAGGAGGTTTATTTAATGCTGTATAGTAGAACCTGTAAGCCATTTGAATCAGCATCTGACATTAATGAATAGGTATTTTCCTTTCCACCTTTGTGGTTTTGAGTAAAGCTGAGGGGGAGAAAAATGTCTCTCTTGGCCTGAAAGATTGATGACCAAGCTTTAGCCACATGGGATTGAACTAGTGGAAGTAGATCCCACTCATACCCTTTCAACCTTTAAAAAATATGTAGAGACCAACCCCGGGCATCTGAGTACAGGCACAGGCTCTGCATTTGACTAGGTAGATTTGAACACTATGCTGTTCTTCACTTTGACCTGAATCCAGCTTCCAGCTCATTAGCTGGGAACTTTCTTTTCACCATGGATTCACATTGGCTCYACAATATATAAATAACTCCACAGTCATCCACATCAAACAGAGGCTTTCCTCAAAAGTTGTTTTTCAAGAGCTGTAAACCCACACTGAGGGCAACAGACTACACCTGCAAACAGCTTTACTATTCAACCTGAAGTCTTTTCACACACTTGAGAATGTTGTAAGAGCTGGTGGACAAATAGGAAATTCATACATGAGTTCTCAGTTCTAAAACTGGCTTTTTGGGGGCAGAATTGTCAGAAACAACAGCCAATGGAAATATACTAGCCATGTCATCATGTCATTAAGCCTGATGCATGAATGAAGAAGGCTGAACACTTACTGCAGAAAGACAGTTCATTGTGCTTGAACACACTTTTTGAACCTGGCCTCTGCATCTCCTCCTTAAAAAGGTGAGAARAGAATCTTTGTTGTTATAGTTGTTGCAAAAGGAACCCGAGAAAGAAGGAGGGAGCCGTTTTAGCCTGCTTTTGCATCTCTGAGACCAAAATACCTGACAAGAACAACTTAGGGAAGGAAAATTTTACTTGGAGCTTTCAGTTTCAGTCCATAGATAGCCAACTCCATTGCTCTGGGCCTAAGAAGAAACACAACATCATGGGAGAAGCATCCAGTAGAGGAAAGCTGCTCAGCTCCAGGGGTCAGGAAGCAGAGGGAGAGGCAGGGAAAGAGAGAGAAGGGGGAAGGGGACACAAAGAAGATGCATTCTTCCAGAGCACACCCCCAGTGACCTACCTCCCCCAGCCACGCCCCATCTGCCTCAAGTTACAACCCAATTCATTCAAACCAGGATAAATTAATTAGGTTACAGCTCTCACAATCCAATAATTTTACCTCCAAACATTTCCACATTAATATAGAAGTTTTGAGGGGACATCTCATATCCAAATCATAACAGGAGCTGTATTAAAACAAACACTTTTGCCCCTATTTTCCCATGTGCTCCTCAATATCCTTTTCCATGATTCCTAAAGTAGGGAGTGTCAAACATTTTTATAAAAGACAGTGCAATAGCTTTTGACACTTTTTTAAAATTTTTTTTAATATTTATTTTTTAGGTGTAGATAGACACAACACAATGCCTTTTTTTTTAAAGAGAGAGTGAGAGAGTAGAGAGAGAGAGAGAATTTTAATATTTATTTTTTAGTTATCAGCGGATACAACATCTTTGTTTTATATGTGGTTCTGAGGATCGAACCCGGGCCGCATGCATGCCAGGTGAGCGCACTACTGCTTGATCCACATCCCCAGCCCCGCTTTTGACACTTTTAACTTCTATATATCGTTATAATTACAGGCAGTTTTGAGGTCATAACTGAGAATCTGTTCAGAGTATCTGTCTTATTATATTTCCTTAATAATATGATGCTCAAGTGATCAGTAGCATGAGCTTTCTAATCAGAAATACCTAGTTTCAAATATTGGTAATGTTTATACTAACAAAATAATTGTACTTAAGATGGTTTACCTCTTTGACTTGCAGCCCACTTCTGTAAAATGGGATAATAACATCTATTTTCCCCCCACAGTACCTGAGATGATATAGGTATAATGTAAAACCACTATAAATAATGTTTACACATAAAATGTTCCAAAACTATTATTTACTCATAATATTTATGATGATAATGATTTTACCTGTAAGAAAAGCCATCATTTAAAAAAATCATTTTACATGTCATAATTCATATTTTTTCACTTATTTTAAAATAAAGGTGAGAACTAAATCTGGAATCAGCAAAGAAAATCTGAATTAGTAGTAACCTTAGAATGCAGGTGGGTGATGATATCTGCTGCACAGCACAAAGGAGATACAAAGAAAAAATAATGTAGAATGTTTACTTTCAGCTCAGATCAAGATTAAACCCGATGTTAGAAGCTTGTTGGGTGGTTTAAAATGCAGATACAGCTTTGGAAAGGGCTGGCTTATGGACAGCACTTATCCTCACTCTATATACAGTGAGTATAGCATACATAAACCATGAAAAGGCAGAGAACCACACCACACCTCTGCAGGTGTGAGAATCACATGGTTGTACTCATTTATATTTAAAATGGAGCTGAATGATTATACAGGCTAGGATCATTTTCACCATTGCCAGGTTAGGCAGRCTTGATCAGGGTACTAGAACATGCATTTAGAAACAGATCACACCTTTCTAAAGCTTCACAGTTGAAAAGATGATGCACTCTGTGACATAATCTTAGATGCATCTGTATTTAATCCTACCATTATCTCTGCCTCCCCCATAAGATATAGGAATATAAATAATTAAAGGTGAATATCATGTTAATTATGTTCTTGCTGATGTGTATCCTGCATAAAAGAACTGAGAAAAATTACACAGGCCATAGAAAAATTTAAGAAGAGAAAGCAGAGTGACACTTTATATTTAGTATCAAAAATTATGGATCTCTGGTGGCAGCTTGTTGGCATTCTGCCACGTACGTGCTAAGGTCACTTGAATGGGTCTGGCTGAGTTGGCAGTAGAGAGTAATTGATGTGATGACAGAATTAGTAGGAAATTGGGGAAATTTAAGCTAGGAAGAACCTCCAAAAATGTATGCTGATGATAAAGCATTTCAGGAGAAGTCAAATCCTATGATTTGTACAGTGGTACTACTGTTCCTATGTTTCACTCCATAAAAATGATCCTAGAGTACTTTCTAGGCTTCTCTGAAATATCAAAAGCAATCTGTCTTAATTCTTAGAGTGAGTTTCCTTTTATTTTTTTTTTAACTTTTTTGGGAAAAAGTAATTTTTGAAAACTTAGGAGTTACTGATAAGCAAATTAATATTTTGGATACATTTTGACTGTATCCTTTTGTTTCCCAATTGCTATATATGAATTTACAGAAAAAGAATAATTTTACTTCTATTTTATAGGAATGAATTTGGAGTCGGTGGGCGGCGCATAAGCGACCGGTTAAACTACAATAAAAATATTTAGTGTTAAATATGAATGATTAGTGTTAAAGCAAACAGATAAAGTAAAATATAGCTTGCTTTGCTGATTATGAGCCGAGCCGTGGGCCTGAAATATTTTTAGGATGGAATATGGTATGTTGTTATGTCTAATCATATTTATAAGAAATCAAAGTATCAGAATGGTAAAATTGTCTCCCCCACCCTGCCCAAGAAAAAAAAAAGTCCTATGGTCTGAAAAAGGGCAGAAAACAAAGGTAAAATGGAAATGTTTAAGTTCTGATGGAGTTTTGAATCTGACATAAATGCATGTGGGATTGGGAGGCAATCTTAAGAGTACTGTGATAGAGACTGAGAGAGAAGTATGGAGCTTTTGAATAAGCAGTTTTAAATAAGCCCACCTAGAAGGCATTCCAGTCTCCCTTGGGACTATGGATTACATGTGACCAAGATTAAGTCAATAAAATCTAAACAGAGGCATTACTTGTATTGTGGTGACATATATGGGGGATCATATGCCATTCTTCCCAGGAGGCATGTCCCTTGGCTCTTCCATTTAGTATTCCTTCCTGCTGCCTGGAGCAC